GAAGAGAATATCGATTCCTGACCAAAATGCTACTTTAAAAAGAGGTGAATTATAGATGGCTGATTCCAGAAGGTTTAATGTTTACATGGCAAGAACAGAGATATAGAATTGACTCAATTGAGAAAGCTGAATCATTTTACACAGAATTTTTTAGAGGGAAAGAGGAAGAGGCAGAAAAAGAAATTTCACTAATTGAATTCCAAGAGGACTGCCAAATGACGACTGAAAAAGAAGAAGGTGCAGTAGTAGGTGGAAAGGAGGAAACCAAAGAACAATGTGAACCAAGATCTACGAGAGCTGTTAAACCTAACTACAAAATATAACCATGGAAGAGAAAAAAATGATTACAATTAATATAAATGGACTTAACTCAGCTGTTAAAAGAAGGAAAACCTTCCATAAATTAGAGAAATTATAATTTGATATAATCTGCCTACAAGAAGTACATATTAAAAAGCAATATGAACAATTGTTGATACAGCCAAAATTAGGGAAAATATTTACTTCCTTGACACAATGCAAGAAAAGAGGAGTGGTTTTATACATTAAAGATATTATCCCAGCGAAATTGATTTATACTGACAACGACGGAAGAATACTAATGGTGGAAATAATGGACAATAATATAAAAACACTCCTGATTGCAATCTATGCCCCGAATGACAATCAAGAAGAATTTTATAAAAAATTACATATGAAAATAATTGAACTGGACTATGCTAATATAGTTATGATGGGAGATTTTAATGGAATTGTAGACAATAAACTGGACTATACAGCACAGAAAACAATAAAGCAAAACAGAAACACCCTCCCTAAATCTTTTTTTAAAATGGTAGATGAAATAAACTTAAAAGATACATGGAGAGAAAGAAATGCTAAAACCAAACAATACACCTTCTGCTCAAATAGACATTTATCATGGTCCAGAATAGATATGATATGGATGTCAACAGAATTGTTAACTAATATTCAGAACTGTAGTGACTGGGAAATTAAGAAATACAGTAAATAAAACACAGTCAAATTATATTCTGTTTGTATGGATGAGCAGATTAATAGCAAAGGGCAAATCATTTAAAATAAATGAGATAGAGACATTCACATAAAAACAAAATAGTCTTATTTTGGCATTTGTCCCAGGGTCATGTGATTGCCATTTGTGACCATCCCAGTTGGCTTCTGACAAGCAAAGTCAGTGGAGAAGCTGAATTCGCTTAATGACCACGATTCACTTAACAACCAGTAACTTCAATTTGTATCAATTTGTAAGTAGAGGCAAAATGCTAATTTAATGGCTTCATTTTTACAGACAGAATTAGCCTTGTTCACAATCTATACAACTATCTACCACAGTGTAACTACTGGACAATAAAATGACAAAAGGTATTTTGTTTGAAAAAAACACTGTGGAAGGGGCAATTTCTGCAAATCAAACTAAAGGAGATGCTCATTCCCAATTAAAGGGAATCAATCCGACCTTAGCAAAGCAATCCAAAACCACTCAACCTTTTCTTCTTCCCATACTTGGATCTGTTAACTCCCGTGTTACTTCTATCTATTTTTACTAAATCTGCTGGATCTTGCTGAAAAGAAATGGGATAGAAAGGGCTAAAGGCCATCTTATCCTGTCAAGAAGAAAATATCATTGGCAGCAGGAATATCTATCTGAAGGAAACCCAATATTATTCCTATAGCTTCATTGCTATTGGCTGTGTGTTATTATTCAGCTTCAACACTAGGAGGCTATAGAGATACCACATTCTATCATCAGATAACCTATGATAGAAATGGACAATTAGTTTTCTTTTTCCTCATGTGTAAAAGGCATTGTCATATCACATGTAAACAAAGTACATCTGCATTTGTCTAAGATCCTTAAACTATTACTGATTATGTTTGGTTAGATTTCTGTTTCTGTGTATGAACAAACACTGAATGTTTTTGTTCCCTTACATAATAACGAGAAACCTAGGTTGAAATATATGAATAAAAAATGATGAAAGATGCACAAATGGCCTATTTTTAATGACTGCTCCAGTAACCTCTTTTAAAATAATAGTAGTAAAAAAACAATCCCAAGTACATGAAGAGACTTACCACTTCTTTCTTGCAGCTAGATAGGGCAGTCAAAATAGTTAATTGATCAAATCCCAAGGAATGGCAGAGTTTTGCAAGTCTGCAACCCATGAACTGTAATATAATTATTGATGAAGTGCACACGATGAAAACTGAATAGCTCAATAAATTCATGGGCCTTTAATATTAATCACAGCAGTCTGACGTATATAATTTCAAGATTAAAGCCAGATCCATGCTCTTTCTTGATGAAGAGGCTGTTATATATTCCTAAAAGGCTTTTCAAAGAAGTAAGCATTTACATTTGGACAGTTTTATAGCCATGATTTAATTAAAAGAGTATGTTTAAGCAACAATGGCCCTTCTTCAATCTTTCCCTCAAGTTAAGGTAATGAAAAGACTATGACATCAGTTACCATGACAACAGAAGTGTCACTAATGCTACACTATGACCTCATTAACTTTTTCAGTAGAAGATTCAACACTTGTTCTTTTAAAGATATGGTAACATGAGAAATAACTTTTTAAACAAGTGTTTCCAGCAACAATTTGTCTTTAAAAAGTGGTAATTTTTCCTGAATTTTTTTTTCTTCTTGACACTTAAATGGTCATCTGTTGACTTGTGTAATAATGATGTCCTGGGCAAAATTATGTTAAAATATTTGGGCAAACTAAACAGATTTACAATGTACAATATCATGATACTGGCATGGTGAATTAAATTAAAAAGCTACAACTAGCTTTCAAAACTGAATTGTGACTTATAAAGATGCAACACATTAATTCAAGGTTAAAGGAAATCAATGTCCTACATGAAAAAAGCACTAATGGTTTTAGCTGCCTCATTTTCACAAATCCAAGAGAAGTTAAAAAAAAAATAGGATACTATGCAACATTAAGTCAGAAGGAGTCTTAATAACACTTTTCCAACTAACGAGTTATTAAAAGGCATAAGCTTTCTTGAGTTATAGTTTACTTCATTAGAGGTGTAGAATGACTGATGCAGTTTTTAAACTGGTATTTACAGAAATGTAGTGCTTGCTCATGCTCAGTCATATACTAAGAAATAACGAGTTTCTACCACTTCAGAAACACCTAGGCTTGCTGTTCTTTGAAGAAGAGCAAGGGAAAATATTTGAGATTTAACATGACAAATATAAAAGTAATGTCCCATTTAATACAACAATACAAAACACTCTGCTATTTCCTTCATCTAGGTGGATTTCAACTACCCAGTTTAGTCTTAAGCTCTGAAGAATCACCAGATATTAACCAAGTCTAACTCAGCTCAGCTTTTCAACGTCACCCAAGGTTAACAAAGGGTAACCCACTAGCTGGGCAGGATATATACGTATGGTGGAAAACTGATTTACCTGAAATGCATAGTGCATCCTATCCCAAATTTGAGCTTTTGGCTTCAAAAGGAGTTACAGTATTTTGACAGAAGTCTGCACAGTGTGTGATAACAAGAGCAAAGTGCCTGTCTTCAAAGTGCCAAAGTAGCTTTTTCTTCCAGAAGGCATACAAAGCTGTTCCAAAAGTGTGTCCAGTTGTCCATGCATGGGACCACCAATGAAAAAAAGCAGCAATGCATACACCCACATCTCCATATAACCAAGGATAGTCTTTGAAATACAGGCAAGCTTTCTGGGAGACACAGTTGCTTTAAGGCTTCAGATAAAGGTACTTCAATTGTACTACCATGCAACTACACAGTATTTCATTTACAATTACAACTAAAAAATCATTTAATTATAATTCTCAATATTGTGATTAATCATTTGATAACACCCATGACAAAATCTCCAAGCTTGTATTGTTTTAAACATACATACATTATGAATTAGACTACTTGCAATCACACTGAAATATTCCATGCTCTTTGAAACATAGAGGGCAGCTATTTTCTTTAGAGACTTCAATTGGGCATAGGACAATACATTCTCCAGGTATATTACATTATAACTCTCTGGAAGTACGGCAATTGCCCTTTTCTTTCTAACTCATAGGAAGCAATCAATAACCCCAATGTTATTTAACCATGCTATCAGGGTGGATGAAAACAAATTACTATCAAATCCAGACAAGACAGAGGTGAGGCTGATAGAGAAAATCTGATCTGATTTGACTTTTGCTTTTTATAAAGAAAAGGCTGGACTCCTGGGAGTGAGATGAAGTTGTTTGGAAAGGGTTATAACATTCAAGGTATATTTCTACAATTTGAGAGTGCTCCTTGTTCCCCATCAATCACTGGATTTTGCAATCAGTAGTTGCAACAAGTAGTCTGCTTGTACAATTATGGCTGAACTGCCAACTACAATCTTTCTTGAATGAGTGAAACATTGTCTTAGTTGTACATACCTCGGTTGACTATTGTAATGTGCTCTATGTTGCATAAACATGTCCACAAATTGCTAATGGGGCAAAATACAGAAATTGTATGATTTCTTTTCGCAGCTGCATATCAGGAACAAAGTTTTTTTTATTTGTTCATTTTTAAAATTTATATCCCACTTTTATTTTGTATAACTCAAATTAATGTCCATAATGCAACTAAAATGTTTTCTATTGTTCTAAATGACTTGGAGCCTGAGTATCTGCAGAACTGCATCTCTCACTAGGGATTTGCCCAGCTGCCCAGATCAGAAGCCCTTCTGCAAATGCCCTTACTGTCACAGTCTTAAATTTAAATAGTTAAGCAAAACTTAAGTTTAGTCCACACTGGAATTCCAAACTTGACAAGCATGTCTATATACAGTATATCAAATGAAGTGGGATTGGAAGTCAATATCCAGATACCCCTGGAAATGTAATCTGAGTTATTGTACTGTTCATTTAGGGTTCTCATTTAATTTGGAGTTTTTCTCTTGCATCTAGATTTCAATAAATAAAGCATGTATACATTTGACATGAAACCTTACCTCAGATTGAAAGTGCTGGATCACAAGAGCTAATGCTTCTAATTTCCTATTGCTGTTTGCCAAACATTTCTTCAGCTGCTGGATAATTCCACTTTGGTTTTCACATTTTCTTTTGTATTGCGTCAACTCTTGTGTTTTTGTTTCTGCTTGTACTTCCTTAGAAGTCCTGGTCTGTAGAGATGAATTCTTAGGGCTCTTCTGCTTACCCTGGCCAACTGGAGAGGGGGAGAAAAGTTACATCAGGAATATAGTCCAATTTAGCAAGACAAGTGAAAACCACTCACAGCATGTTGCATCATTCTTTTGATAGGTACAAGGAAAATAACTCATAAATTCAATTCTCTAAAGATTCGTTATCTGTGTTTACAAGTGTCTCATATATTTCATTCCTATCTTCTACAATTAATATTCAACACTATCACTACCTTGATGACTGAAATCATGTTTTCCCACATTTCTATTTTAAGATATTTACAATAAGTGTTGGAAAGCCCTTTCGACACACACTAATGCAACTTAGTGCTGCAATCTCAAATATGACAAATTGTAGATGCACTTTGTTCTCTAGACAATACTGCAGGCATACTTAGCAATTTGCACAGTAAGCATTTTCATGGATGCTTTTATGTTCTTAATGACTTTTATAATTACTGCCTTAATGTTGACATTAAATGTACCTATTCTCCTTTAAAAAAAAACAGTATCTGTTTTATAGTGGAAAAAATGTTTCCGAATAAGCCAGTCATCTTTTTATCTAGAGTTTATTGTTTTACCTACATTTATATTCATCACACTCCTTTTCTTTTGAGAGTTCAAGGCAACTTACATGTAGGTTCCCCCTCCCTGTCCAAATGTAAGTTACTCTATGCAGCAAACGGGACTAAGAAATAATCCAGTTAGTTTTATGGTTGAGATTTGTATCTGGGTCTCTTCACCTTATGTCCAATGTTTTAAACATTGCAATAATTTCATAATTTTATAGAGAAAAATACAATTCCTGACATCAATGTTATATAAAGCCCATGCAACACTATTGTTTATATACAGTACAACATAGAGTGTGGGAGTGAGGACACTATTAAGTCCCTTCCTACTATTTCAATAGTGTATTGTGATTTAATGAACCTGTTCTCTGACAGTTATAAAGTATTCATTATTCACATCAAAGATGCAGGATTTTTTTGGTAATTTAAAATTTCAAAATAAGGATATTCCTTGAACTTTACCGTTATCTATCTTACTGAACATTAACTTCCAAATTATTTCCCAAGAAACATTCTTACGAGAAATAATAGATTTCATCTTGTGTTTTTGGTATGAATCTTACACAAGGTTGTGTCTAGACGGTGGGGGGGAGCTTTATTGTGCTGTATATCATTATTAGACGAGTTAAAGATTGGGATTGCTTTTGCAGAATTCTTTGAATTGTTACATTCTTATCAACTTCTATTATCAATTTGTTCCATAAAAAGTTTGATGCCCAACTATTGTCTGGGTACAGTTGATATACATTTTCAATTTTGTACTGTATTTAAAAAAGAAATCAATCTGATTTCTGAAATCCTAGTTTATAACACCCAGTGCAGCACTGAGAGTAGATGCAAGGCTTCCCAGGATGAAGACTAGGTCTTGGCAGTGAATTCGGATTTTATGATTAATGATCATCCTGGCTTCATTCCCCTAATTATGGGGAATGCATTAAATCTAGATATAGGATGCTAAATAAAATGTTCCTAGTCAGTCTGTCTCCTGAGTTTCTGAGCTTGGATAAGTCCTACAAATTAATTAGAAAATGGATTGGAAATATAAGGGTACAGTATAAAATGAGCCATATTACATGTAGTCTTTGACTTACAATTGAGCCCAAAATTTCTGTTGCTAAGTGAAAAAATTGTTAAGTGAATTTTGCACCTGTAAAGAATTTATATTCCGTTAGTTCCATTACAGACATCCTTTTATAAGGGGTCATTTTAACACTAATTTTAACACTTTCCCTCCCTTTAATAGCTTTTCCAGAACTTTCCAGCAATGTCCACATATATGTAGGATGACTGACTCTGTGGAGCATATTTTTCACTTTGTGTTTTTTTTAATCTGAATGGAGATGACCGCTACTTCACCCATTATTCAGGAATTTCCTTAGTCATGGTGATCAATTTTATGTAAGTTATATTATGGTTGACAGAAGCTCCAAATTCCGCTATTCCACAGCAAAATGTTGCTATATTAAAAAAATGATAACCTGTGACAAGGGATAGAATGACCACCTGTAGAAATTTTGTTTGTATGTGAACACTGCTTTAAAATATTTAAGGCCCGTTTATTATAGTTAACCTCTGGTCAAGACCATAGTACAGTTTAAAGCAGAAATGAACATGCTTGCAGAAGTGCTATAGCAATCCAAGAATATCAATAAATACAGAAAATAAATTTCAAAGTTGTATTTCAAAGCAAGCTGACTTTCAAGTTATTACATGTATCTAAAGCATGTTAAATTAGAAGTGTCAAAGAATTATTGCAAAATGCAAAATTTCATAAAGTTCAAGCTTAAATTGCATTAGCCTAGTTAATATCCAATAAGCCCATCCCTAAAATAAATATCTGTCTTTTGTAAGAAGCTAATCTTGGGCATCATTGTCATACCTTAAAACCTGAGCTACCACTGTAGCACATTTCTATTTTACAGATTAACAGTTGGAAGAGATCTTGTAGGTCATCTAGTCCAAACCCCCCACCCAAGCAGGAGACCCTACATGATTTCTGACAGATGACAGTCCAGTCTCTTCTTGAAAGCTACAAGTGATGAAGCTCCGACAACTTCTGAATGAATCTGAATTTTGTCAAGATTCCCTATTTCAGCTGTCAAATTCCCAGCCCACGAGCCAGATGCATCACACGCTGGCCATGCCCACACCCGGTTTAGCGAAGGGAACAAAGTCTCAATACGTCATGTGATGTCACCATGAGAAAGTGAACCCTTGCTCTATTTAGACAAACTGCACAAGCCGATTTTGAGACATTTATATGTACATACATGTAAAGATTATGTGATGACCCGTAGTCTCTCAAAATAACCCAAAACCCAAAACATATATTAAAGTCTGGTAAGGCCTTCAACTTAACTTCACTGTTTTATTAGGCACAGTTTAAAGCCACAAAAGTAAATAATGAGGCTAACAGAAAACCAAAACAAACTGCATTGATGAGAGTTCTGAAGCAAGCCGAGATAACTAATCATAAACTCCAGGCAAATAACAAAGAAAAGTCCAACAAAGATAAACCTCTTTCAAGGTAAACCCTAACTGACTCCAGCAATTCTAACTACATAGCTGAAAAACTTATATACATAGCTCCCACCTGCAAGCCACGAGGAGGATCATGGTAATCTCCTCTTGAGTAGACCTCGCTTTTTCTTGATCCTCTCCTCCCTGCGTGACCTAGGATGGATAGAGGATGGGCCTGGATCCTCCTCTGACTGCTCAGCCGGCCTCTGCCCTTCCCCAGCCTCCTCTACCACCTCTGGAGCCACACTCCCACTCCCTGTTGGCTGTTCCTCCTCTTCCTCAGAGTCAGACTCCACCAGGGGCATGACAGATTATTTTTCATGTTCACTCTGAGCTATTTTATGATGAATAAAAAGATAAATAATGAAACATTTACCTAAAAACTTAACCCAGAATGTTTGCCACACATGATCTTATGATAAATAGATTTCAGAAAAAAAGAATTACAGTCTTTTAAAACTACAAACTTAATCTACACTAACTTTGGATAAGGACAATTCAACTATCAATATACCACACTCTGAAATATTTATTTTAATGAATTAAATAACATTTATACCTGACTCTTTTTGATCCACTCTATGAATTTATTTTATTCATGCATTTATTACAGTAATTTGCAACAATGTACAAATTATCAAATTTGAATTTGTTGAAGTCATACTTAAATATTAATAAAAAGTATGTTGGAAAACATAACATGTTTTTATAATAAATAAAAATATAATAGAGCCAGTTTAGTCTAGAAGACTGTGAGTCAAGTCCTGCCTTGAAAGCCATAGGGTGACTTGAGGTCAGTTACTCTCTCTCAGCTCAACCCACCTCAAAGGTTATTGTTGTGGGGAAAATAGAAGAAGGAAGGTGGATATGTTTTCTGTTGCGTGATTTGTAAAAATGATAAATGTGGGATATAGATAAATATATATTCCATATAATTAACAGAAGAAAAATATTTGGGGGGGTTGGTACACATGGTCACAAATTTTAATAAAAACTCCAATGAATTATTAAATTGTGATTTGTAATTTTTCAATGTCATTCAAAACTGCTTTAATTAGAAACTTAGTGGTTATCTTTAATTTGATAGTTGCATCAATTTCCTTACTTTCATCAGAACAATCACACAGTGTATTATCAAAGGGCACAGGAAGCATATAAATAAATGAAACACTGGGAAATATAAAGATGAATTAGTCTGTAACAGAATGTTTTTCAGGTTGATTGTGGCTAGAATTATTACATTCCTATTGGTTTCATCATTATCTTGTCAGCACTCCTTCCATAGAGTAAACTGCTTCTTCCTAATAGATGCCAACACTTGATTCCAAATATTACCAAATGTTTGTGATTAATTCCACTGCCTCAACTCAGACCATATGATGAAGAGGTTTATTCAACACAGTAGAGCTAAGGTACTACATAGAATCAGTGGGTATTCACCTATTTTACTAGAAATGCTAGTTTTGATGAAACTATCCATAGAAATGGGTCATAAATTATTCAATTTGAGATATCAAATATTCTTGTTGCATTACCCTCCCATCAGAACTAACAGGGATTGCAGAGAAAATTATTTGAGAATTTGATGTTCACAAAATTAAAACACAATATTCAGTTATTACGAACTTCAACCTCTAAAGTATGCTAATTATCCAAGCCCAGAGAAACAACCCAGAACTGTGTAGCTAGATAAAATACTCTTGTATTCTGATACAAAGTTCCAATTCAGTTGTCACTAAAAGTGCAAATGATTGTGGAGAAGCTGGGGAAAATAATGGTGATAAGATATAAACAATAAAAAATCAGAAGAAAACATGGTAGTCTATCCTACAAATGGAAATTCAGCAGGTAGCAAGAAACCTAATCAATAAATTTTTCAGACCATTCAAAGGGATTCCCCTCTTATTTATGAAGGGTTGGGAAGTCCTTGC